GAAAATTCTTATAGCAATGAATAACACCAGTGAGTCATATTGTTTTGGTAAACCACAGAAGGAAAACATCCCTAAGTTCACTAAGAATCACTTCGGAAACTTTTACGAAACAACATGCCGTTATAAAACTTTAATCAAGCAATCAAACGCCCACCTTGTTGCAAGAGTTATACTTGTGATGGAAATAACTCCCATACAAAGGTAAAATTCAGAGTCACAGGTAAATTAGAGAGTGGAAGTTGATCTGACTGGGCCGATCGTGTGAGCGTAGGGAATACAAGCGAACCCACAGGTTATACCTAAGTCATAACCACCTGCCACAAGTGATCTCAATATCCTCAGAGTGGTGGATTCTGAAAAAAAACGAATTACATATACACATATTACCTGTGGTTGATATAGGTGTTGATCAAATTCGGGTAACGTGATTCTCCAGTATCATACACGTCTATCGATAGGTATGGGTGAAGAGCATTCAGTTCGACTTTCAATCCCCACAGAAATGTTTTCAGTTCTCGCATTTTTAACGTTTGAATTGGCATGACCTTGAGCGTCACGGTGAACTTTTTAGTAGTTTAAAAGTTACGATTTAGAATTAAATAATACCTTATGCAAAGCAGAATAGAAGTTCATGCTTCCTAATAAATGATTACTGTTTCATGAGGGTGTTTATTCTGATCAGTTTGCATATTCTAAATCGCTCATCTTTCTTCTTTTGTCACACATTGAACAAGCCAATTAATTGAAATTTTACAGCCTAACTAAAATGAAAAACTATATAGCTATTATGTGGCCACATAAAACCCCTCATCATGAAGAGGTTCAAAATATAATCTGGAAAGCATAAACTATGACCTTCAACCGCTCACCTTAAGGTGTGCGGTTAGTTGACCAAGCGTTTTGTAATGTCACCGTGCCCAAGTTGGATAAAACACCCCAGAGATTTTGACATATAGTTGAAGCCAGAGTGCGACGTGGAAGATGCTGTTTGACAGTGATAAAAGAGAAAAAGAAGGGCAAGTAGAACATTGAAAAAATGAAAGTACAATACCTCTATCATACTTGAGTCATTTAAAAAAAAAATTGACTCAAGTTATGCTTTTTAATGAGGCTTTGTTATTTTACAACCGGTGCACTTGCAAAAGTGATCAAAATCGATAAATGTTATTCCTATCAATCAGTGTAGGAAAAACAATGGGTAGTAGTAATAGTAGTACATACTGATCACAAAGTAGGAATCACGAATTAGAATTCACGGACTATCAATCACTGACGTCACGTAAGCACTGGATCACACTGGTCCTAGCACCACAGTTTCCCGCGTAATCAAGACGCGAGGAAAAGGCCACAGGAAAAGCTGTTCGTTTATTGAGAGAAATAAGGAGGATTAAACAATATGTATACATATTCACTGGTCATTCAATCCTCCACCAATCGCGTGCTAGTATTTCTAGTGTTGTCCAGCTTCTGTCTGGGCCGCACGGTTTCTGATTGGTCGGTACAATGGACCTATGGTCTGTAGTCTAGACTGTGTGACACGCACGCGCCTTGCTGATGTCACCCAGGAAGCCTGATTGATCACAGTTGTCCAAAAACTGTAACGTGTGGCTCCGTGATATGCGTCATCTCGCAGGTTAGGATCACCACAATAACCTTGTAATTAATAGTTTAATGGCCTTGTATAAAGTGGTCAGGGATAGGAGTTCCTCTCAGGCTGAGTCCTTTCGACTGCCGATCACCGGTTTAGGGGCAGAAAATGTTTATTAAAAAACGAATGATGGATTGTTTGTGTCCTCCAAATTAAAACACCATACTAGTTACTACTGACGAATTTATGTATCTCACGATTATTCAAACTCAGAAAACTGTTTTCTTCTACTTCAGTTCACCCTGCTAAGTACCTTGAAGGCATTATGCAGTATTTGAAGTGAATACGAAACATGAATTACGAATCACAGACGCCAGGGGAACACTGAATCGCACTAGCACGTGCACGCTGGAATCCCCCGTAACCGAGACACAGGAAAAAGGTCATAGAAGTAGCGGTTCATTTATTGAAAGAGATCAGGAGGATTAAAGAATACGTAAATAGAAATATCATTGGTCACATAAATACCAGCCAATGACCATTGTCTTTCTTCGAGTCCCACGGATTCTGTTTGAACTGTATTGCAGTGGATTGATCGATACTGTTGGTCTATATCCAGATGTCCAGAAACTGGAGCGCCTAGGTGTTTGGCTGACGTCATCTGGGAGGGTTGACCCACCACAAGTTATTTCGCCAGCTCTCAAATTAACGGGTTGAAGTACGGTCACCCACTGAATGAACCCAACAGTAGTAACGGTGCCCTGATCTGAAACGGAAACACAAAAACTCGTTTCCTTGGTCATTTATTTCAATTCAACCATTGCTTTCCACTTTCTTCGCATTCTGCTCTAGAATTATTACAGCTAAACTCTCGTTACACAGTTTCTTTACCAGGTGATTAAGGGTCATATCTTGGTCCCAGCGGAAGCGATTGGAATCTGACTAAACAACCTCTCGCGATTACTCCTAAAAACACACGGTTTCTCTGGACCATCACCACACTCGACAAGACCATCCCTCCCACGCTCCATAGTGAACGGATACAATGTGTATCGACCGAGGTTTGTGAAACATCCGGTCATGGAAATCGCACGTGACTTCTTCCCCCTAATTCTGTAATTGCAATCGGTGAATGAATCATCAAAAAATGAGTTTGTCAGCTACCGGATGTTTCTTACAATTTACAACAATGATTATCAATCTTTGTAAGTATTCTTTGATGTTTACATTATGAAATCCAGTTTGCTAAAGGTTTTGACCATTTATCGTGCAACCAATGACAGTGAGTTTGATTCAACCTGGGATGTTAATGGTCCAAATTGCGGAAGTGACAGAAAATGAAAAACACTGTTGATGAGTTCCTCGTTAAAAATATCTCTTTACTTCTTTTTTATATCTATTGAATATACAAATGTACAGTCAACATTCAGGACGGGGGTCCGCTGCCGTACAAAGGCTGCCTGGAGAAAATACAGAATTAGGGTAAACGGGTCGCGGGGGAGCTGCCTGAACCCGGGACTCCCAGTTCACAAGTTGGTGACCTAACCACTTGGCCACCACTGTGAATTACTGTAATGTTCAGTTGATCGAGACCATGGATAGGAATAACCTTGTTCCGAATTCAGATGTCTATTGTGGAACGTTTGATTGCGCTGGATTGAATCATCACAGAATCATTTGAGCAGGATGACGTGATGACATGTGACTTGCGTTTCTCAAGCCGAATGAAATGGGCATAAACGAGTAACAAAAGTAAATAGTACAGTACTGGCCGACGGTGATGCACTAAAATATTTTCTTTATGATCAAAGGGAGTTTCATTATATTTATCACTCATATTAATGCTTTAGTTATGGACAATAATTTATATCTTGCCTACTTCGATCTACATAGTTTCTAGGCTGCATGATTGACAATCAAACGAGCCTGACCTTGGGTGCCATGATTAAACAATCTCAACATGAAAATCACAAACTTTATCGTGAATGAAAATGCAATACATACTCAAGAGATCTGAACATGAGAATCGCGAACTGTATCAAGTATGACAACGCAATACCTTCTGATAAGAATGACTCAAGAATTATCCCAAATTATTTCTGTCAACCCTTGCCATTTCCCTTATTTGTAATGAGGCATTATTTTATCTAATGTATAATCCATTATAGCAACACTACTGTATAACCAAATGAAATTCTTTCACAACCCAGAAAAATTGCATTAAATAAGGTTTCATAATAATAATCCATGTTTGATATCTAACTCAATCAATTCGAGAAATATCACAAACTTTACATCTTGCTTATTATCAATGTTAATTTGTTGTTAATAAAAACTGTTCCATTCTCTTTAGTTAGCTCTTAACTCATCATGGTCTAGGTCAACCACTACTGACGAAATGGGAGTATCCGCTACATTTTGAACCATTCCATCTGCTGAGTATAAACGATTCAGGAAAATCACGGATATAAAGACTCTCCAAAACTTGGTTATTATTAGTTTTGAAAAAAATTTACTTCAGTATAAATGCTGTTGCCCATACGAACCGACAAGTGTTTCACAGGGACCTGTTGCTTCAGTTTCGATTAGACCTGGACATTCTCTCTCTCGGAGGAATGAGATGGTCATAACGGTTGAGTGTGTAGCTCACCAGTCCTTGAAGTTTCGCATAGGTAAATAACTCGCATTTAACTCACAGGTGGATATGAATGGTGCTGTAGGACAATTGGTATTGATCTGAACTGACCATCCATCCTTCAGACTTCATCTTCACGCACAATCCTCAGTTCTTCAAGTCAACCACACACTCGGAAGTACTCGACTGAAGTTTCGCTCTTGTTAGAGCTCATCACCAGTGCATTTCCATTGTCCCAGTTAACTACCTGTTAACTCTAATCAAAAACCTTAAATCAAATCAGGTCTTTCAAGCAGATTACGGGCTGATTTGAGACGGTAGATATACACTATTGAAGAGATTTAATAAGAGCGAAACTCCAGTCTAGTGCTTCCGAGTGTATGGCTGACTGAGCGAACTAAGGATTGTGCATGAAGTTAAATAAATTGCAGTTAAGGTTTTCCGGCGGTGACTAACTGTCGTAACTCATTCGACTGTTTCGTCACTTAAAAATGCCAATGATTATATTTCAAATTGTGATTGAAATTATTCTCGTTTTTTGGAGCTTTTTCTGCAAGTAAATGTAAAATACATCCATTCTACTTTCCTCGGTTGTAAATTGCCCTCTCGGCACACGACTTTTTTCCCAATGCATATGCGTTGTTTTAAAATGGAAGTAACTTCAGCGTGCTATTTTTGGCATCTTTTTCAAACTAAACTCATATGTATCGTGGACATAATCAACTGATAAAGTGATGAGGGAGCAACGTTTGGTGGTGGGCAACTCTGCTGTCGCTCGGTTCTATATCACGCCTAACCTAGCGAGGCCTTATGTGGTTCACCCCTCCAAGCCCCGGATGCCGTTTATCATCACGAAACAACCAGTCTTCGTGTCTATGGGTTCCGCCCCGTCTGCTGTTCATCACACACTCATTGGTGTGTAATATTACAAAGAAAAACATGCAGCCCACGCATATCCACCAAACAGCATGTGGACGCAACCACATTCTTGATTTGAATTTTTAATCACTTTTAAGTAACTCAACGCCTAACCGGACAATTCGAATTTCATCACATGTGAAATCCTGATATCAGTTATGTTATCAACCAACAACCAATCAAACACACACACACACATATAGCGTGTCTTTCAACATGACTGGAATACTCGGGGTGAAGAAATCTCTTGGTTGTCTTAGTAACAGACCCGCTCCGGTTGAGCCGCTTCAGCAAATGGGAGATTTATCAGCACCCGTTTTTCGATTCGGTCGACTTAATCAATTGAAGTGCATGCACACGAACAGATGTTACAAAAGTTTTGAAAATAAAAGAGAAAAAACAAACAGAACAGAACAGAACTCGAAAGAGCGAAAGAGTTTTCACATTTATACTTAGGCAGGTGTACAAACATTCTCAGGAGGATATGAGGATTGCGCATCACACATTCAATCCACACGTTCATCACATATAGCCCCGGGTGCTCCTCTGTGCGTGTCCGTATTAAAGTCATAGAAACGCGCGCGCGCACGCACTCGCGCGTGTTTGGTCCTTTGTTGTTGGAGCTGGGTGTGTACTTGGGGAAAAAAGCACACATGTGATTCACAGACTGACTGTACACTAAATCACTAAATCCACCGATCACAGAGCACACATCACACTATCCATTTACTTACCAACGTAGACAATCTCAACGAAAACAATCATTTTGAAGACAAACATATTTTGTGTAACCGTGGGGGCAAATGTGTCTCAGATTGTGCTTTCTCAGCTGTTCACAGTTGTCATTTCTGATTCGCGTTTACTGGTGTGTGTGTGTGTGTGTGTGTGTGTGTAACACGGATAGCCAAGGACCGACTGACGATTAACACCTGGTCAAAGAAGAGCCAACTCAAACATTTGTATTTGTGATGAAAATTAAAAAAAACAGCCGGAAATCTGCCTCGAAATGTGTTCGGGATTTCCGGTTCGAAGACGCTGGTGAAGTGTGATCCTGCATTCCAAATAGAAAAATTTGTGTACCAGATGTATATATATGCAATGATAGTCCATTCTCTCCGCAGATAGAACTGATGGAGTACTATCGTTCTTCGCGAAACCGCAATTCCTCCATTCTTCAAGTGCGCGTTTCGTTGATAGATCCCACAGGGAATAACAGGGCACGAATATTTCATAAGAAAGAACTAACAGTATTACTTTTCAGTTATGTATGATCACATGCCTTTGCCTGTTCGGAACTGAGGCGATAGAACATTTGGCACTAAAGAGAAATAGTGATAACTTGGTAAGCTACCTGGTGTACTCGATCGATAAATTCGCAGTCAAAAGTTCACGGATAATAGAAGGATCTATTGGGTAACTAACTAACCACGGATAGGTGGGCATTGCTTTATTGATTGAACACTCCAAGACGACCCACAGCGATGATACTGTCTGTTTGCCACTGAAAACCATTAGTACACCCGGAAATCTTCCTCACATGTGTAACTCAGTCTTGCCCGTAAATATGGCACTCAGAATCCCTCTACAGAAAAAGCAGAATGCCAGGATATTTCATTTCATAACGTTCATCATGAATTTCCGTAGACTGTTTCACCAAACCGACTATTCATCCCCTGAAAAAAAAAGATTTTCTGGTTTAATTATACGCCTGTTATAAAAATTTAGTTACCAACTATACATAGAAATATCCCGTACTTGCACTGAAAACAGACGGGGTTGTGTATTGAATACAATAAATCACGTGGTTCGTTTTATGGAGAGCCAAGGGCTGTAAGAGGAGGACAATTCATCCATCTCACAGCACATTTTGACCGCACACGAGGCATAGACGACCCGACAGACACATCGGACCAAAAGTATGATACAACACGTCGAATTGCGTTTCACTTGAAGTTCACATTTTATTGTGGCACCATCACTGGAACACATCACAGTCTAAGAGAGTTGGAGAAACATAAACGCTGTCGATGATATGGAATAGATACCGGCTTGTTTCTAAGTAAAGATAGCTCAGAAATAGTATCGGATAATTAGTAGAACATCCTGACACGCAGCGGAATAGATTCTTTGATCATCAATGGTCTCAAATGATGGATATTGAAGGAAAACCGCCTCAGCTTACCAACGGAACTCCGAATATGATAAAATCATCTGATATTGGTTTTCAAAAATGACACCAAGACAGTTGATACTGTCTTATAGACGAACAGGAGACCGATCAGTACGCGATGATTTACTGGGGCAGGAGGAACGTTAAAAAGTGAACAGTAGGATTAAAGCATGATTGACAAGAAAGTAATCTGGTTATCAGATGGAAGGAGGGAGGGAGAGAAAACCAGCCCGCTTGGAAATGGAGTAGGACAGTACAATATCATCTACACCGTTCATAGATTTGGCAGGTGATGTGTTAGATGAAATACTATTCCAATAGTCAACAAGAAAATAGGACTGGAATGGTACTTGGAATATCTTCAGAGTAGTCGAAATAGTCCCACATTTCAAATAAAACAACAGAGTGGCGAACAAGCTGGTTTTCAGAAATTCGTATCCATGCCAATACATCATCTCAATATATATCACTACTTGGAAATAAAACTCTCATGGAAAAATAAAATAAAATAAAATCACAGATTACTAGAAACCATCTCATCGTGAGACCGGAAATCGGATTTACCACGATCACACTTTTGTTTGTCCACTCATCCGATCACTGAGATTACTTGTGACATGGTGTGTGTGTGTGTGTGGGAGGTGGGTGGGCCAGTGAAGCTTTAGCGCTTGCACAAATTGTCTTTGGGCACACAGAGGGGGGGGGGAGTGCGGAGTTGTGCAGACGACTGCCCACCGCTTCTGCTGTAGCCAACATCCGACAGCGAACCTGTCTCGGTAATTGTCCACGAGCTTTGTACAGGGGTCGAAAAGCCTCGGACACGTCCACAATGTGATTTGTTTCAGATAGGTGTGAACCAACTGCACTGTAGTGAGTGACTTAATCGTTTCGATGTTTAGCCACACAGGGTGGTGTTCACGAATCCGTGCGGACAATCGCCTGACCATGCGGCCTATGTACATTCTTCCACAGAAACAAGTAAATGAGACAAGACAATTTTATTCCTAAATAGTGATGCATATTCAGTTGTATTGGCATGAATACCAATATCTGAAAACGAGCTTGTTCGCCACTCCATTGTTTTGTTTAAAATCTTGCGAGTTATTCAGCAATGGATAAGATACTTTCTTACGCAACTCGATATACTGAATTTAGACTGTTATGTGTAACGCTTCAATCTTGAAACCATGAAGAAACGGGTGAGCGATTGAATCGTTGTCTGCACAAACAGCATGCTGTGGTTGAAGACGAAGTCTGAAGGATGGTCAGCCATGAGGAGAAGTGACAAAATTTATTGTATTTTACAGATCATATTAATTTCTAGTAGTTCACATCATTCGATATGAAGATATTAACATTCTTCTAAAATTTAAATACCTAATAAATAAGCCAAACATTATTCATAACCGATTGTTGTTTGGGTTAGTCCAGGCAAAGCTCGATGATGCTTCTTCCTGAATACTTCGAACTACGCTTCTTCAAATTGGGAAAATTCGCGATTCGCTGAAAAGGTGTCTCANTTTCTCAATTTGAGCTGCTTATCGAGTCGGCTTGTGGGTTTTTTGCACAAACTCAGTTAGCAAACAAAACGTTTGTGTTTTCATACATACTACTCATGAGTAGATAAACGCTAAATAGTAGTATCTGATGCGAGATACCGAAAGTTCCCGCGGTTAGTAAGTGTTGTTTTTTTACATGTGCTTCGATAGATCCATGTCCCTTTGCCTTGAAACAACATTTATTCTACCGTCAGAGGAGCTGTAGTGCTGCAATGCCGTGCAGTAAAATTTAATTTTTCAGTCAGGTGGTAACGCTCTCCAGGTACTGATCGGAATTTTCATCTAGATATGTTAGTGCAGATTGATTCCTTCTGGTAGCCAATAAGACGGATTTGGGAAAATTTCCCAGAATGTGTCGGTATCGCATTCCTGTTGTTCCCCACAGTACCAAGGGTGGTTATATAGCAGGATTCAGTCGCTGGATTCAAAGTAGTATCAAGTTTTTTGGGTTGGTCACCGATAAACGGAAAGGAATATGATTAAAATTCGTATTTTATGCATTAGAGGCGATAGGGTGGAGACAAATAAAACACTGAACGAGGCTGGCACTTTTACAGCAAATGATAGATAGAATGCACAGCAATGTGACAGTAGTGGGCATAACAGGACAGTGGGGTCAGTAAGTGGTCTGCCGAAAAGCAGGGATCAGTATTATTGCATCTTCAAGTGCCTACGTAGATTCGCACTGAGTAGATGTAGCAGAGGGAATGAGTTACTTCACACGTCGTCAATCAATAAAAGCTCATTGACGATTTAGCCCAGGAATAATAACGGACGACAAAGCACCCTTCTAGAGTTCCATTTTCCTCCGTGATACATTCAGCCAGAAAGGTTAACTTAATAAATGTCTGTTGGTCGAATCAATGCAGAATAAAACGAGGAAACAAAAACGGATCGACGAATAACACAATTCTTAGTCAAAAGAGAGTGTATAACGACGACAACAACAACAAAAACAAAAATGATAATAACAGAAACAATGCAGTTGCAGATAAATTGACCAAGATTAGACAACAGGGAAGTGTAACCGAAAATCTGGGTCAATTAACCTATGTAAAACTTTAACAATGTGGGAAATCCTATCCTCTCAAGAAGATTGATTTATTTCGAGTATAGTGAGTACAATAACCTTGGTTCTAATAGGCACAATGCTAGGGTGTTTTCCTTCGCTTTCAGTTAAAACTTAGGCAGGAGAACCGTTGAAGGAGCATCAGTGTTCGTTGACTCCCAAATTATGCAACAGTAGATATTACGAATATTTTTTCTTTTGGAGTATTCAAGGTCGATTATCAAATTTTTCGCGTCACAAGTAGTCAGACGAATCAATTTGTCCACACTGGCAACTAGGGCTATAGAATGTAAATCGAAATTGACGAACCACACCATTTGGACATTTCCAACCCCAACTACTTGTGAGTAGTGATGAGAGATATGGAAAAAATACCAAACTGGCCAATAACGAGCAGTGGAATTTCGACCGCTTCAAGCTCGGTTGCAGTGTTCACCTTTTGCACACCCTATTACCAGCAATGCAGACTTTTTGCAGAGTTCAATTTATATCTGTCGGTAAAATTTTTCGGAATACGCTGTCGGTCTATCGTTTCGTAGTCTACCACACTCAGTCGGCTATCGAGCGATCTATGAATGTTGATTGTACTTTATTGTATACCAAATAAGCAAAAGTAAAAAACATGCTTATTGTTATGTAGAAGCTTGGAACAAAGCCATTCTTCACAGCAGTATAAATTAGAATGTTGAATCAACAGAAAACGAGTTTTGATGGAATTACTCACCATTGTTACCGCCTGTACCGATCATCATCCGAAATATCAAGATAATCTCACTTACCCAGAGAACTAAGCTGACTGGAACCGGCATGCGGATGTGACAGTTTGGTTTTCAAATTACCTTATGGTGTACGCTAGTCACGCTTCAAATTATGAAGAATCTCACGTGTCCTAAGGGGTGGAAATTCCGAACAACATCAGCTACCATTTGTTGATCAGAAATGAGCAATAGCTGTTCTCTGCTGGTGGTTACCAAATCAACTGCGGGTTTGTTTAAAATGCTGCGTGATTTATGTTGCAATTCAAAAATAGTTAAGTGCAGTTTTGCACTAGTCTCTTTGTGCTTATTCTAAACTGCATGATACCTTTTCTCCAAGCGGTCCTTGCTACAATATATATGGATTTTCACACACATCTAGCGCCAGACTGTGTGCCAAATAAATCATAGCACAAAAATCTTTGAAAAAAGAAATTTGGAATACTGCCAGGTTGTCCACTGCCACAACCGAGGTGTGTGGTTTGTACGGCTCATCTTGGCTCGTTTGCAATCAGGGTTTTAAGCCGATTCCCATAAGTGAACTGCCAGTGGTTCACCGACCTGGTTATAGTCCCGGATATTGACTTTTCGTCATTTTACTCTGATTGGAAAACACTTCTATCCCACGAGAACTCAGTGAGTACGGTTTCTTCAGTAGTGGCCATGTGAGACGCCTGGTCGTATAGGAGCAGCTCCTGAGGTGACAGGGAAGGGTGACCAGCCACTACCCGAGCAAGACACCCGAACCCGACTAAACTGAGGCTTTTGGAGGCCCTTGTTTCAATGAACCTAATCAATGTTCTTCAGTCCCAGCTAGCACTTGTCTACCATCAAAGATCAATTTACCTGTTGAAACTATCTATAAGCACCAGAATCTGGTCACCCGAACAACAGTGCATGACTGTTTTGCAATGTTTCGTCACGCTCAGGAAGAACACTCCATACCATTCAATCTGCCAGTTCTTGTTCAATCGTTTTCTGTTACACCGAAGACAGTCACATTCTATCTATTAGTGTATCAAGCTAGTATAAATAGTTTGATTAAGACCACTCCATTAGCCTCTTTTCTTAGAGCATGAGACCACATATCTTAAGTGAGGCCACTGAAGTCATAAGAAAAAAATACGGGACGCTTCATTGCACATCCAAAGTTTCGTCTTCTTATTCAGCTGGTTGAAATAATAAAGAAATCTACCACAAAAGTGCTTATTAGTAAAACCAACATGAAACACAATGTTCCCAAACCAAAACCCTTTTATGGTGCGCTTCTTTTTTGCGCATTAGCTTGTCAATTCACTGTAAACAGTTGCGCGTGCACACTGCGGCTTCTGGAAAGCAAATCAGTCACGCACTCTATTGTATGCGTTTTAACTTCATCGATTGCTACACACACACACACACACACACGTGACAGCAGCTCTGTCGGTCGATTTTTGTCGATGCGAATGCCGTGGTGGAAAGCACATTTTTCTTTATTCGCCTGGGTGCCAGAGTTGGCCCTGATTTTTGACAACAAAAGAGAATGCTTTGAAACGACTGCAAAGCGAAATGTGATTTTTCTTTCTCGAATGTATGAGAAACAATGTGATAATAGTGTTTTAGGAAGCACACGTTTTATTTGTTGCTTGTTCTATCTAACTCGAAGATTATCGATTAAACGATGCCCAGATAATGAGGTGAAACTAGCCCACTAATAACTTCGGCGGACTGGTCGTACGTATCTTCTTTCTACTTGCAGAAGTGCCTGCTGAAGTATACAAAAAAAGCAACCCGGAAGCGTTGAAAAAATTTCAAGTGACTGGAACTGGTGATAATGCTAATGATGATGATGATGATGATACGGATGAAGATGATGATGATGATGATGATGATGATGATGATGATGATGATGATGATTCGGATGACTCGGGTGACTTAGATGATAATAATGATAGTTCAGGTGATGAGGATGTTATTTTCGCATATGATGAAGGTGATGGTGGTGTTCATTCGTTATTTAGGTATAGGCGACCTATAGGTCATACGTTCGAACCCATCAGCATCACCATTCGTAGTTTAATGCGGGTTGGTCTGTGATACCACCTTTATGATCCCGGTCTTCTTGCAGACACTCCAAGCTGACCCAAGGGTTACTTATGCCGCACCATCTTATCTTTCGTACGCTTTTTGCTCTCGGAATGTAACTTTTGAACATTTAGGTAAGCTATTCTAACACAAATCCTTAGCGACAAACACAAGGTTCTGCAGAAAATTTGTATAAACTTTACTGTTGGTTCACTTTATCTCCATAGCAGTTAATTCTTATCTTCATTTCTTCACTTGTTTAACAGAATTATCTATAAATGCTAACAGTAGTGAATTGAATATAATCCAATAAAAATCTCTTCCGTATTCAATTCTTTTGAGAAAATTTAATTGAAATATTTTTTTGTAATAAATTGCAAAAACACATTCAATAAGTGACAAACAGTCATTTTTCAACTTATACAAAACAGACAGTGGTTGAATTACCTCAAGTTCAATTAAATAACATTTAACTTTGGGACAGGAAATTTAGGTTTTACAAATATTTGAGAGAATTTGTATGGCAATCAGAATAGTATTGAATATCGGAATACGACAACTCGTACTGTAATGCCCAGAACTGGATTGGCTCCAACCCGAACCGCGGACACCAATGAAATACACGAAGAATGAGTAGCATCAACTGCGTATATTTATCAATAGAATTAGAGCATGTTTTATAGAAAGTTATACCCCATATCATTGGTTGAATGATCGTCGTCTAATCACGTAACCGTTTGCGCAGACGCATCGCATGTACAAATTCGGATGTAATGTTCACCCGGTGTACCATTGGCCGAGCTTCCTGAACTGTGATTGGATGACACGAAGCTGTACCTGCTTGGAATGCGGTCACGTATGTCTGGATTACCACAATTTGACAACATCCCAGGCCAATAAAAAGCAACAGATTACAGTCATTGATACGGAAAATGTGACGCAGACAGGAATACTGTGCTGATTGGATAGTAAATCGGAGGAACTGATGGCCTTGTACCGCGCATCTTAATATCTGTTTCGCGTTAATCACCTTAATTACCTGACCGCTTTAGTCATTTCCTTGTTCCTCTGCTCTGTGCTGTAGCCGATTTCGGATACCCTCCGAAAGCTGACAAACAATTATTACAAGATTGTGCGGTTAATTTTGGTCACAAAAGTCCCTGCCTCCCCTCCTCCTATACGGATAGCGAGGACCTTTTGATCATCATCATCATCATAATCATCAACATTGAGTGTCTTAAAACAAAGAACAAAAACAATAATTTTTCCTATCATGGCGCGTGCAAGTCATTGCGACATGCCTACCCCCCCCCGCTATCCCGATTCACAATCATATGATTCAACACGCGGAAGTTCGTATTCTAATTTTTTTCAGTCTCGCTCTCAGGAACTAACCGAGTCAGTAAACATTTAGAATTCCATTTCGTGCTGTTGTTGATCATGGGTACGTCGCTTGTTTGGATTAATTCAATACACGACCGCACCCACACCCACATCCACACACACACACGGATTTTATGACCGGATGTGCTATTCGCGATGCAATATCATCTGCGTGCTGATCCCCTCACGTACTGAATTCGTTCTCTGGCTTGGTGCAGCCTGTGCACAACACTCGACACTTCATAGAGGAGCTGTCGCCACGTGTGAAAATGTATGTATGATGCGACTTGAACGGGGATAGAGGGAAGGAGTTGTAAAAGGAGGGTTTGAAAAGGAAATCCTACATCATTTGAGGTACAAATCGGTTCATATTGCCTTTTGATTTTCAATTTTATGGTGAATAATTAATTAATTGGTTGTCAATTATGAGTGCTGCTTGTTTTCTTTTCATTTAGCAGAGTGATGGCATCAATAGGGAATCCAAGTTACATTGATCAATGGTCCAGTCACGTGACGTAAATGCAACGCTTTTTGCTTTGGGCTTATATTGCTCACATTGGAAAAGAAAGAACTCAGAAACCTGTGCAAAGTGAGCCAACGCAGCAAATCGAACAGGTGAATATCTTATTCATAAAGCAGACCAGACAGGGATGATCAGATACCCGAACTGTTTCTTCCGGTCGAATCCGGA